GTTCTCTTCTCTTTTCTCTTTTTTCTCTTCTCTTCTCTTCTCTTCTCTTCTCTTCTCTTCTCTTCTCTTCTCTTCTCTTTCAGCGCCCACATATTTTGTATAACAAATTGCGGAAAACGCAGGATATCTTACCAAACCATTCGAAAATAGAGCAATCTAATTGATTGCATTAAACAATACTAAAAAATTTCCCAGTAAATCTAGTTTGTTTTAAAGTTTTTTCAATTTTAAAAATCTACATTTGTTATCGGGCATTTATCAATTTGTTCCTATACTTCGTCTTTAAATTGCCTATCAAGCCTTCGTGATCTCTTTCTGATTTCAAAGGTCTTATATATTATATAGCGTGGCATAACCAAAATAAGATTCAGGCATTTTGAGTCGATTCTCGCGAAATATTCTCTATTAGATGATTAGACTCTTTACACGGATCCTGGGTTGACGTCATCATTTCGTGATTTCATTTCTATATTGAATATCTTTGCAACGAAAAGAGATATCAAAAGGAAAGTAAAGGCCATTTTTATTTATTTTATAATGGCTTTGAAGGAAGAGATACTGTAGGTTTGATAGGCACTTTAGATTTTTTGATAATTTTGTTACATATTAGTTTTTTTTTAAACTTTCTTGAAAATCATTATAGTAAAGAAGCATCCTGTTAAAATATCATTGTAAATGAACGAACGAACGAACGAACGAACGAACGAACGAACGAACGAACGAACGAACGAACGAATGAATGATTAAGTCAATAAATAAATTACTCCAATTAAATTTAATTCAGTTTTGTTGTGAATCACATTGAATGTGTTGTACTCTACGTTACAGGGACTTACAGCAAATGATGGCAGCTATGGTGAAGGTGGAGATGCTTTGAAAACGCCGAAAGAACAGCGGAAAAAATATTTTACTAGATTATAACTATTTTTATCGTATTGAAATGTTTGTCAAAAAACAAAGAGTAAAATTGTAATCAGTAGAAAAAATGAATAAAATGCTTTGATTAAAAGACTTCATCAAAGATTGTCGTCAATGGATGCTTTTTTATTTCAATCACGAGTCTCATGAGAGAACATTTAGCCAATCAGGAAGCGACAAGGTCCAATCATAATTCARAAAAACTTTAAATTATCCAATCAATATAATTTTTGCTTGTCCAATYAAATATAAGACTCTTCTCAAAATATCTAGTCTCCCTCGCATCCGTTTTTAGTGTCGGTCGTCACGCAACGCTCCCAGGGAGCGTTGMKTGACGACCGACACTAAAAAYGGATGCGAGGGAGACTACAAAATATCCGAACATCCAATCAGAATGAGGGAATATAATGTTGTCCAATCAAATGTAAGACTCTTCTCAAAATATCCGAATATCCAATCAAAATGAGGGAAAATAATGTTGTCCAATCAAATATTAGACTCTTCTCAAAATATCCGAATATCCAATCAAAATGAGGGAATATAATGTTGTCCAATCAAATGTAAGACTCTTCTCAAAATATCCAAATATCCAATCAAAATGAGGGAATATA